AACTGCGAAAAACCATTGCGCCATGTACTTTCCACCGTTATTGCATTTACACGCTTTATAGTTTTCGTCAGGCGAAATTTTCGATGGGTTATTACTTTTCGACCTTTGTAGACGAAATAATGAAATTCCGTTCTCCCAACTAAAATCTTTTCGCTTCCGATTATAAGTTCATCAATGGGAACAAAGAAAAGGACTCCATCCATTAATAATTACCATAGAAACGAAGCTCTTCAATTCGTTGACTCGTGAAGGTCATTAAATATTTCCATGATATATGTGAATTTCTTCTACGAAGCCTTCACTTGGCTTTCGAATTATATGTTCCCAAATGATGTAACCCATGGAAACATGATGTAGTTCCAAGCGACCTCCGCGAGAGAACACATTCCTTTTCGAAACCTTTCATGAGGACTTTGCAAACGGGTGAGTTTAGCTGGGTCTGGGTGAACACACTGGGCTACAGCTTGAAGTGTTCATTAGGCTTCAAACGGGCTAATTACAAAAGCATCATCAGCGCTCATCGCGGTTACGACGTTGACCAATTCCTTCTCAGGGTTCCATTTAGAATTGTCATTACTGCTGTTAAGCCGTGAGCCATATCTTTGCAAGAAGGGCTAGGGAGAAGCATGACCCTAGCGTGTAATACGCAGCATTCCGGCCCAAAAAGCGTAAGGTTCCGGTCCAAGACCCACCTGATTCAGTGTTGCCCAGCATTCCTTCATAACTTCCAGGAAACTCTTCTCGCTCGTATTCTTGCCATTTCCACCAGCTAACTGCGTTTCATAACTATCATTTATTTTCATTGAAATGTTCTTGAATAGCACAGGTTTTAATTTTAAAGCTGTTCAAGCTCTTGATTTCAGCTGCAGTAGCTCCAGCCGGCTCGGACAACCCAGGCTACTTGGGAGATCCGGAGAGCAAACGTGAGCGCTAATTTTCATATAGAAAGGATTTATTCACAGCAGAGCCTAACACCGTCGATTACAGCGATCGTGCCCATTCCCGAACGTCCGTCAATGTTCGAACGACTGTGCGGATGCTGCAGCCGAGGCGCCTCGTCCAGTGAGGATGTTATTCGGGGCGAAGAAGAGCGACGGTTGCGAGCCAACGATCGTGTCTTTAACTCTCAATTCAAATATGCGGTACGGAAGGCCTTACAAGGAAGCATCCCAGGTTGCCATGGTCGTTCAGAAAGAGATATACATTGCTCCTCATAATGACCTTTCCACAAACAAATTTCCCAAAAACTTGCATCTGAAGGTGCTTTTTGAAAAAGCTCTAGAGAGGAACTGTGATACATATAAACACTGTTCTTAGTATCAATACCAAATTCCAGCGGAAAAAAATAGCAGTTTTTTCTTTTGGAACTAAAAATTTTTAGGTGAAAGCATCATTAT